CTTACAATCGGTCTGAAGGGGATGTCCGGTTTGTGTACTTTTGGTAGTCCGTACAGTCTTGGTGGGAGCGGGTTTGTAGGTTTTAATGTCGTTTTGATTTTGCTGGGAATGTTGCTTTCCTCCACCAGGATCTTGGTTTTTTGTGCGATTGTATTAGTCGGATCTTTATCAAGCTTTTTGTATGCTTTGTCCGAGAGAAGGTTCTTCATCTTTTTCTTGTAGTCTGATGTATTTATGACTACTGTTGTGTTGCCTTTGTCGGCTGGAAGCACGATGATGTCTGTGTCCCTGTTCAGGTCTTGGAGGGCCAATCGCTCTTGTCTAGTGATATTTGGTGGAGGGGGTTTGGCTTTGGAGAGGATATTGGTTACTCGTCTGCGGATGTTATCTGCTTGTTCTGATGGGAGTCGGTAGATGGTTGACTCTATTTGGCTGACGATCTCTTCTTTTCATATATATTATTTCGTATATATTATTTAAAAAAAAGCAAACCATTCCATTTAAAAAAGTGGAGGTGATCTTGAAATCTCAGAGCGCCTCCACTCATAGAAAAACTATTTCTAATATATTATACCCTTCTTGATGCCTTATACAAATTTAATAAATATATCGTTTCATATCTCGAAAATAGCGGAAATATTCTAAGTGGAGAGAGTGTGTTACTGCCCTACTCTGTACATATATGTATAATAGAATAAATACGTAAAGGAAAGGCCCCTATTATGAGATACCGAGTTCATTTTGAGTAAATGCTAGAAGTCTTTAGGCAGAATTTTAAAAATTAATAGGTCGTTTTGAAGGGAATTTAATAATCTTTAAGATAACGTTACGCAAAGTTTGATTCAAATCCCATTTTCTTCGAAAATTAGAGAAATGTAAAAAGTGAGCAAATCGCAAAGCAAAAAATTGTGCTCCTAATATGAGATTCCCCGAAAAAGCAAGAGTAAAGCGCAAAGTACGTCATTATTGCAATTAAAAAACTTTATTTAATGTTTCTAAAATACAAACAAAAATACACAGTCAGCGTGCGTGAAAAATGAGCATGCGGTAGATACCCAGAACTTGTTTTCAGATAGTTGAAATCAAGCATCGCAAATATACAGGAACTCAACGTTCATTCCGGTTATCTTTTTTATTATTGTACAATAACATTTATTCTTTAGAAACGATTTTCACTATAACACATAGGGACATGGGTTATTTCATATTAGGAATACCCTGGGTGTTATATTACAATTTCCACGCCTTATGGTTTTATGATCATCAAATCTAACTTCAGTGTAATCAAACAATTCAATATATCCAATATTTTTCTATTAGTAACGACCTTACTCCATCATCACATGAAAAATTTATTTCCAAATATTTATTTATTCAATAATAAACAAGGTTGAAATGCTCATCTCAATGTAACCTGA